AAAAAAAAAATTACATGAAGGATCTCCAGTCAAGATGGCAGAGTAAATGAATGCTGTGCTTGCCTCCACTCAAACCATGTCAAAATTACAATAAACTATAGAACAACTATCATTGAGAATTGCCTGGAGTCTAACCGAACCAAAGTCCCACACTAAGGACATCTAGAATAAGCCACCTCAAGACTGGTAGGAGGGGCAGATGTGGAATAGGCTGGTCCCACACCTGAGTGGGACCATTAAAAATTGGGAGGGATATCTCCGCTGTGGAGGTCCCCTCCCATACCCACCCTGGAGGAGCGAGGGGGTGCCAGCCATACACCAGGTTCCCCAGCCAAGGGTTCCAGTGCTGGGGAGAAACGTCCCAATAACTTTTGGCTGTAAAAACCAGTGGAGATTGTGGCTGGGTGATACAGAGGGCAGCTGCAGTCCCAGGCACTCCTCTTAAAGGGCCTCTGCATGGACTTGCTTGCTGACGGACTCACTTGCTCTGAGCACCAGTGGTGGGGTAGCAGCTAGAAAAGTGCCAAGGATATACAGGAGGTACTGAGTTGTCCGGTTTCAGGGCAAGGGCTAAGAGGGGCAGCTTTCTCCCAGACAAAAGTGCTGGCAGAATCCAATGTTTCTTTGTTGAGCCCTCCCCGTCCTGGCATGGAAACACAGTCAGCTTCCATATGTGAGTCTCCATCAACTTGGCTAACATCGTTCATCCACATCAGTCACACTGCCCTAGTGATTCCCTGAGACCCCGTCCCACCCAACTTTTGGGCATACCCAAGCCTCTTCCAGTGGCTTTTCCACAGAAACACCTATCTTGACTCATGCTGTGGACTTTCCTAAAATCTCTCAAAGGTTTACAAAACCCAAACAAGCATCATCTGGCTTCAGTGTGTCCTGTACCTCTTGTTGAGCAGCCCCAAGGCTGGCACTACTGGCAGCCGGTGTTGGTTCATGAATTGGCCTCTCGAGGCACCTATAAACCAGCACAGGTGGTGGCTATGTACGGACTGCTTTGAGGATCATGCCAGGTGGCCCTGAGCAGGGCACAGGCTGTAGCAGAATTTGGCCTGTGGCAGGACTCCTCCCAGAAGTCCCTGGAAGACTGCACCACTGGGACCCACAGGACACCCATTACATAAGGCCATTCTACTACGACTGGGAAGCAGCAGCCCCACCTAATACATAGAAACAAACACAGAGGGCAGCCAAAATGGGAAGACAAAGAAACATGTCTTAGGCTGCCACAAGGAGAGGAGCTGTCACTATGTCCATGCATTTGCAATGGATGGTCGTGCACAACTGCTCCAGCTTCCTGATCAAAAGGAACAGGCAGACGTGTAGCACCAAGTTCAATAATTGAAGGCCCGTAACTCCTTCTACTACAATGGGCTGATTCACTGCAAGATTGTGGGCGTGGAGGCAGCCGCCAATGGCAAAGGTGTGGTGGTCATCATGAAGTGAATATCCGGCCAGCAAAAACCAGCCACCTCCTATATGCGGACCACCATCAACAAGAATGCCCAGGCCACCCTCAGCAGCATCTGGAACAAGATCTGCAACAACAAGTACTGCCCTGACCTGCACATGGTCGATATCCTCAGAGCCAGCACCATCCTGTAGAGCCAGAATCCCATGACACTGAAGAGGAAGCAGGCTCATCCCACCAGGATCTCCTAAGCACTTCTCCCTCAAAGCAATGAAGCATAAAGTATCAACTTTCTCAAAAAAAAAAAAAAGGAAGAAAGAAAGAAAGATGTACTAAACGAAAGAAGAGAACAAAGGTCCAGAAAAAGAACTAAACAAAATGGGGACAAGCAATCTACCTGATGCAGGATTCAAAACACTGGTTATAAGGATGCTCAATGATCTCAGTGGAAACTTCAACAAAGAGATAGGAAACATAAACAAAGAACCAGTCAGAAATAAAGAATACAATAACTGAAATGAAAAATACATTAGAGAGAATCAACAGTAGATTCAATGAAGCAGAGTCGAATGAACGAATTAGGTGGTAGCAGAAAACACCCAATCAGAACAGTAAAAAGAAAAAAGAACCCCCCAAAATAAGGATAGTTTAAGGGGACTCTAGGACAATATCAAGCATACCAATATTCTCATCTTAGGGGTACAAGAAGAGAGAAAGCAAGCTACTGAAAACTATTTAAAGGGGGCCAGCCAAGTGGCTCAGTTGGTTAAGAGCTTGCTCAAGAGTGCAAGCTCTTAGCAACAGCGGTTCGAGTCCCAGCCTGAGCTGAGCTGCCAACAGGTGGCAGGATGGCTCAGCTATTAAAAAAAAAAGAAATAATAACAGAAACTTCCCTAACCTGGACAAAGAAATAGACATACAGGCCCAGCAAGCAAGATAAACCCAAAGAGGCCCACACCAAGACACATCATAATTAAAATGCCAAAGATTAAAGACAAAGACAGAATCTTAAAGCAGCAAGAGAAAAACAGTGAGTTATTTACAAGGGAGCTACCATAAGACTATCAGCTGATTTCTCAGCACAAACTTTGAAGGCCCGAAGGGATTGGCACAAAATATACAAAGTGATGAAAAGCAAGGCCCTACAACCAAGATTATTCTACCTAGCAAAGCTATCACTTAGAATCAAAGGAGACATAAGAGCTTCCCTGACAAGAAAAAGTTAAAGGAGTTCATTCACCACCAAACAAGTATAAAAAGGAATCTTAGAGGGACTTCTTTAAAACAAAAAAGAAAATGAAAAAGAAAAAAATATGAATAAGAATAATAAAATGGCAATAACTACATATCTATCAACAATTACTTTAAATGTAAATGGGTTAAACCTTCCAATCAAAAGATAGTGTGGCTGAATAGATAAGAAAACAAGACCCTTACATATGCTGCCTATAAGAGACTCACTTCAGATCGATCAACAGACACACACACACACAGACTGACAGTGAAGGGATGAAAAAAGATATTTCATGAAAATGGAAATTAAAAAAAAAAAAAGCTAGTGTAGCAATACTTATACCAGACAAAATAGATATTAAAACAAAGGCTATAACAAAAGACAAAGAAGGACCCAGTAAGCCCTCTTCCTGGTATTTATCTGAAGAAACCCAAAACGATACTTCGTGGGGACGTGGGCGTCCATACGTTCACAGCATTGATAACAATGGCCAAGATGTGGAGGTGGCCTCGATGCCCACTGATGGATAAATGGATAAAGAGGTGGTGGTACATGTATACAGTGGAGTATTGCTCAGCCATGGAAGTAAATGGGTTCTTGCCATCTGCGGTGGCTGATAACCTGGAGGGTATTGTGCTGAGTGGAGTATGTCAGAACAGAAAGACAGATGCAAAGTGATTTCACTTATATGTGGAATCTAAAGAACAAATAAACAAACAAAGTGAAAATAAACTCATAGATACAGAGAACATTTTGATGGTTGCCAGATGGGAGGGAGGTTGGGGGGATTGAGTGAGGGGGTGAAAAAGGGGAAGGGATTAAGAAGTACAAATTGGTTGTTACAATGTAGTCATGGGGATGTAAAGTAACACATAGGGAATATAGTCAATAATGTAGTAATAACTATGTATCGTGCCAGGTGGGTACTAGGATAGTCAGGGGGTTCATTTCTTAAGTTATATAAACATCTAACCACTATGCTGTACACCTGAAATTAATATAAAATAATATTG